TGATGAGCGCGTATCAAAGGGGTCAGGAAACTGTCGTCAACCGAGAAGCGGCGTCCGATCATCCGTCTCGTAGAGTTACAATTGTAAGTTTACATCCAGATATTTCCCAGGTTTGGAATTTATTTTTCTTCCCGCAATTTATTTTTTTCCTTTCACGCCCAGCCACTCAATCGTAGAACTGATACACGGCAGGTCGGAGAAAGGGAAGGAACATGGCGCGCACGCACAAGACGGCCCAAATCGAGCAGTAAATGGCCGACCAAGCTCGCGAGGAAGAAGAAGCGCGTACCGCAGAGGCAGTACGCAGGGCAAGTGTCGAGGCGTCCCGAACCCGAGCGGAGAAGTCTCGCGCGATGAAGATTGGGCGCGAGGAGAAGGAAGGTGTGGATGTCAGTACCGAATCTGGTCCCAATGAAGCCACTACGGCCGACGCCTCGACGGATATTCAGCACTCAGATGATGGGGACGAACATGAAGACGAGGAGGACAGCGCGTCGGCGTCGGAGGAGGAGAAGGATGAGGTGGTGCACAGTGGCACGCGTGGTAAGAAGAAGAGGCCGCATCCGATGGCGGAGACGACGACGATGGAATAGGCGACGAAGCTACAGTGCCCTCGTTCCAGACTGATCACAAAACCTGGGCGCTATTTGATGAAAGCTTGCAGGAGTACATGCGTACGACCAAGCAGGTGCTAGTTGTAAGAGCAACGGTCAGTGCCAAGCGACGCAACCAGGATCTGCGTAAGCAAACGCGGTATCAAGGGCTCCCAGACAGTCAGATTCCTTTGGTCCCTGAGGAAATGAACCCTTGTCAGCGCAGGTACATTTGTACGCATGGATGGGCCGAACGTGAAAGGTCTAAGGGCAAGCGGAAGGTGCACAAGCTTCGCCGGACTGACTGTCCGTTTTAATTTCTGGCTCAGGTGGTGCAAACAAAGGGGCATCTCGCTGAAGCGCGAGGTGTATCGACACAATCACCCAATCAGTTCCGACATTTACATGTCGTACCCAGGTATTCGCCAGGTATCGTCCAGGTCTCCGCTAATCCCTGGTATTGAGCTGTTGGTGGAGTCAGACGCTAAGAAATCGAGTATTTATGACTATATCCGGCGGAATTCTGATCACCGCGTGACGATGGATGATGTTCGCACGCGTTCGCCAGTCTGGTAAAGTAAATATTGTGTGCTCAACGGGTTCGTAGGTTTCTAACTGCATGCGTGTACTCTTTCTGCAGGAAGGACACTTTCTGACGACGACGCAGTTGCTGAGACTGTGGTCAATTTCAATTTGGAGAACCCAAGGAATGTATCCACCGTTGTGCAAAGCGCTCGAGGCGATACTGGTGTGATATCGGTGACAACAGCTCACATGCCCGCGATGTACGACAACTTCCCTGAGGTGTTGCAAATGGACTGTACCCATAAGACCAACAAGTGATAAGACGCAAGCTCCCTGAGGCTCGCGTGCTCTTGTGTCATTTTCACGCGATGAATTGGCTACATGAAATTGTGCGTTGTGGGAAGTACGGGTCGTACGCTCCTGACGTGGCTGACCAGTTGAAACATCTCATTACGAACATGACCTACGCAAGGAGTGAAGGCGATTACAAAGCGAACAGGGATGAGTTTAAGGCCGTGGCGTGC